TGGCATTTTTAGCAGTTCTCGAGTGCACAGGATTTTCTAGTTGATATAAAATCAACCATTCTAGGACAGAATTGGTAGATAACTTGCTATTCTTTAGATATGATTTAGATTTCCAGTAAAAAAATGTTTTAGTAACCCCATTTTGGAAAGAAAAACCATTCTTGAACGACAACCAAATCTCCATTTTCGTTTCCCGTCCGAGCTTGATTTGGGGACTGGGTCCTAATTAGTGGAAATTAGAATATTATTGTAAGTTGTTTCTCCGCTATTTAAAGACATCACAGGCTCAAAATATCTGTGTGTTAACCAATCAGGACTCGCTATTTCGAAAACAAAACAAAGATGGCGGACGAGGAAGAAGAAAGAAGGCTATCTTCGTCAGTGAAGTTCAAGTAGTTCTACGATGCTTTTAGCCACAAAAAGCAGATAAGATGAGAAATGAATATATTACCATTACGTTTATTAAATACGGGAAGGATATTTCCTGTCTAAATCCATTATATTCTCAGTTACATTGTGAAGAAAATGTTGTTAATTCAGTAAAGAAATTGAGTAAATAAAGGTTATTTTCTGAACGTACGGCTTGTTCTTTGTCGACATTTTTATGCGCCAAACTTCAGCAGTCGCTGCTAATGGCACATGCGTATTTTTTGCGTAGATTTAGGCGCCAAATTGAAAAAAAGAGCCAGAGTTGTCAAGATTGGAATTTATTATAATCATGACAGAAATTGTTTCTTGTGGGTTCTCAAGAGTTTTTCTTTGGCAAACTAAACGTTTGGCCTTGGAAAACTTAAAAAAAGAAGTAAATGAAAGTACAACAAAATTCAATATGAGGATTCTAGATGAAAGATACCATATTTTCAGTGAACATTTCAACCATCATGAAAGAATGCAACTGGATAAAGGTAAAGTCTGATATTTTTATCTTAAAATGTATTTTGTAGTTTTTAAACAAATAAAATGAATTCAAAGATATTTTAGCACACATTAAATAGTTTTGAAATCTCAAATGTCCCAAATGATTGGGCATTTTTTTTGTTTTTTGATATTTCACTTATTTCACTTTTCACAATATTTCAGTAAATATTACAAACACTAAAAGTGTGCACCATAAATGCCACTAATTTATCAGCTAATTCTATTGTTTTCTCTTGCTAAATTTATTTTAACACCATTTTACTAAAAGTGTTGCACACTTTTAGTGTTTGTACTCTATTACTAAATTTTAATATTTAGCAAAATGTACATTCTATTGTTTGTCATTTTGTATTGAGTAAAATTATACAAATCATAGAATGCATACAGTGAACCCAGTGGGGGATTTAGTATACGGGTATGCACCATCCTACAAGGTATTCTTTTTAGACCTCCAGGTCTAGGAAAAGGTATCTTTTTCAGGCTGCCATTTTTGTTGGTATAAAACTCATTGAAATAATGGGTAAAGTCTTACTGTAATCTACTTTTTGTGCCCAGTACCTTATTAAGTACGGGATAGGGTGTACATTGCTATATGTTTAGTCTGGAGTAGTGTATGAAAAATAAATAAAAAATGATCTCAGGAACAGGGTTTTGAGGTCCAGCAGCACACCCATAAACCAAAGTAAGGGTTTTACTAGTACCCCCCACCACATCCCCCAGGATGATGAAGAAGTATTAAAAGTCTCACAAATACAAACACTGAAAGAGTGCAACATTAATACCAATAAATTGTGCTAATTCTATTGTTGTTGTTTTTGGGTACCATGATGCACACTTTTAGTGCTTTTACTCTATAATAAACATGGTTCTCTATTTTCTATACTCTGTTTGACCAAGTATGGTTTGAGTGATCACACACAAAGCCATTAATAATCACAACCTTGTCTTAGTATCTTTGTGTGACCACTCAACCCATTTTGTTACATTATTACATGTATATATTTTAAACAAATGAACAGTCCAACACTCTTGACTTTTTATATCAAAAGAACAAATAAGAATGATCAACCTTTTATATATATTATAACAATCAAGTAACAGTTTTAGAGTAGAGTACAAACACTAAAAGTGTTCAACAGAAATACCACTAATTAATGCTAGATTATGCTACAAGATGTAATTCTATTGTTTTCTATAGTTTAATTAGCTCTATTTATTGGTAATCAGTACAATGTGTTGCCCACTTTTAGTGTTTGTACTCTAAAGGCATTGGACCTATGCAATAATAGGTGAACAGCTAGACACAAAAAAAAAAAAAAAACAATTTATCATTATAGATGTACAGTAAGAACAAGCCAATATGTATTTCAATGGTTCCATTAACTTGACTATATTTAGTTATCTGACATACTTTTTTGTATTATCAGCATCTTTTCTAAAAAGCTATAAAATAATCGATGAAAGATTTACAAACTGGAGATCAAAACAAGAAAAAGAGTCTTATTTACAAGCCTTCTCAAAGGAATCATGGTTAAAGTGTTCAGAAGGAAGGAAACAAATGCACAAAGTATCTAAATGTGAATGCTGCGAAACCACAACTACCCTAAGATTTTCAGTGAAATATGCAAAAAACCACAAAAACCTGGCTGCAAAGAGAGAGCCCTTAAAAAATCTAAATTCAACTGCGAGAGCAAATATTCCATCATACAGTCAATCTAAGCCACTGCTGAGAGAGGTTAAAGAAATTGGTAAATCCATCTTCCAGAATTGTAATGAAGTCTGTAAGAAGAATCTTGGTAAATCCTTTAGTGAGGTGATGTCCCTTGTACCTGAGGCCCAGCTTCAAAAGAAAACGTCTCCTGTAGAAAGAAAAAAGAATGCAAGAAAAATTAAAAGGCAGTTTAAAAAAGACACAGAACAAATATGGCAAGAGAATGATGTGGACTCGCATTTAGCAGAAAGGAACTCATTTAGATCAAGAAATGAACAAAGACTTAATCAGTCTTTTGAGACACTAGAAGAGGCAGCAGACAGAGTAGATATAGCAAAGAGAGGACAAATTAACCAGAAAGTCACAGCCCTAAATTCATCACTGGAGACCTAGAAGAACTTATGAATGACTTCCAGCAATGGACACCAGGAACTCCAATTAACTGGACCTCAAAGGCCAAAGAATATCATATTAGAAAAAAGGGCAGTCAAGAGCCACCACCAAATGCAGGACAGCTATTAAGAGCTTATCTTATATCCCAAGGACTTGATGTGACTCCATTTGAGAAAGAGAAAATAGGTATGTTAAACATAGCAAACTATAATTACACAACAGTCACATGTGTTTTGCTTATTTGTAAGTATGGCTCACAGCTCAAGTACCGTAAGAGAGAAAAAACATGTTTCTTTGATTATTTACAAACTATTTATTATTGAGTTACCAAATGCTGCACAAGTGAAGTTGCAGTCACTATTGAAAACATAATTATTTTCTATTTTTATTTTAAAGGAGTAAAAGTCAGAAGAAAATTAAGACGCCAGAAAGGTGGGGAAATTTCTGTCCCTTTGCAAAGAGACAACATAAAGATTAGAAAAGAAATTAGACAAAAAGTTGAAAGTGGGTACTACAACCTTGGGGTGCAAGTACTGGAGACAGAATGTACTAAATTAGTAATTACAAGTGAGGGGAAAATAGAAAAAAAAAGTATCCAAAATGATGGCAAGAAAATATCCTTTCACCAAAATCAGAGAAAAGGCTCTAGAAACCAATAAGACTTTCATGCACACCAGAACAGATGAAGAATATAACTCAATGTCACAAGAGGAACTCAAAACAAGATTACATAGCATACATGAAAAAGTGACTGATGACCCAACAGTAGATGAGATGAGAGAACGACTTAAATCCCTGGAGAGAACCAGACACTGGCTTATTTGGCATGGCCATTCTACAATCGCTAACTCTGGATTTATGCTGTTCCTCCTCAGAGAACTTTATGATCCTGCAGTTCATCTCTCCAACAAAGAATACCTTGAAAAGCATGGCATACCAGTTGATGTACAGTCAAAGATTGAAAGTCCACCTTTCTACATGTTGGGTGTAAGCAAATCCACCGATGCTGATCAATTAATGTTTGTGTCCACAAGAAGAGAATGTCTCAGGGAGTTGTCTAACCCCATTTCTACTGCTGAAGGAGTCATAATCAAGGATAAGATGAGGATGATGAACGGGGACAGTCCTGCCGTAGAGCTAGAAGATGGAACCCAAAAAGGCGGACACAGGGGGTGTACTGGTTGTGATGGTGACATGAGAAATGGGTATGACTATGAGTACATGAATTACAGGCCCTACAGATCATTACAAGAAAAACAAGAACTTGTTATGAAAGGCTTCTTTGGTAAAGACTGCACAAACCTCAAGCCTTTCAAAGATTTAAAAGTTAAAGAGCTAAGGAGAGAGCTGAAATCAAGAAAGATTAAGACTGAAGGAACCAAGGATGCTCTACAAGCAAGACTAACAGATGCCCTTGGAGGGACGTCCCGTCTACCGGCACTTCTGTTTGGAGAGGATAAGCTATCATTACCTGCCTTAAACCTTGAAAACTACGAGGTACTATTCTTTGAGCCACTACATGTATGCCTCAATTACATTGCAACACTACTAAAAGAGCTACCCAAACATATTACTGATAGACCTGAAACCCTGCTGCTGCTTGAAGAAACTCTACAACTCACTCTCAACAAAGAAAAGCTCAGAGCCACAGACTACCGCAAAGCACTTCTCAAGATAACCATCCAAATGGCAGACCACTTGAATGATGATGAAAAGATGCTTCTCCTCATTTTCTGTGAGATGCAAGGGATATACTATGGGTCTGATGACAAGATGTCCGAGACAGGTTCTTAGACTACATAATATTTCATGGCTCCATGGAAAGAAGGTACAGAAGGTGTTGTGCCCACCTGAAACTGTTACATTGAGAAAACTCTGTGGCATTTACTACCATGGGGCTGTCGACCATGCTCCTTTCTTAAGCCGACTTGTATGTCTACGCTCAATCAATGCTGAACTCTTTGAACGGTATTTTGAGCGCATTGAAGACATAACCAAGAAGACCTGGGGAAAAAGACTAGAGACACTGGTGTCGAATGCCTTTCTCCACATCGAAGCTGAAGACAAGATTGCCAAAGACAAATCAAGCAGTTGACTAAGAACTCAAGAGAAGGAAATTTCAAAGCTTGCCATGAAGTTGCCAGCACTGGAAAACACCATCATTCCAAAATCAGTATTAACAAAGGAATCAAGGGAATGGCAGGCCCATTGTTCAAAACTTGCTGACTATCTACAGCCTGGGGAAGGGAAATGGTGGAAGTGGATGGAAGATGGCTCTGTGATGTTTTTCGATGCACCTGGAGAGGATGATTCAAGGCCAGAAGGCCCAAGCCTCTACCACTACAGGTCGCACACAATTGAAGGAGTCAAAGACGAGCTCCTCAACACTTGGAACAAATGCTGTAAGAAACCAAAAAATCTTCCTATTTACAAGCTGAGGGATAAGAAGGGAAAGATTGTGTACACAAGAAAAGCACAACACACAGGAGGTAAAGCCAGTATACAATAAATAAGTGACCGCATATAAGAAAATCAGGATGAAATTTTGCATATAATTATTACTTATTAATTAATTTTTAATTATTAATTATACTTACAATATATTTTCTCAGCCATGATCATATTACTGTTTAGTGCGTACATTTCGCATAAATAAGAGATGAACTTCCTGAAAGAGAAGTAAAATATAGATTAAATTGTGTTAAAAATTCAACAATTCTTTTTTTTTGCCACAGAAGATACTGAAACTACAAGTACACCTGAGGCAGAAGTGAACATAGACCACCCACATGATTTACATGATGATGGTAAAATTATAATAATTTCATTTCATATCAGTTGATATCTCTACAATTGATTTATAATTGATAATTTTTTTTTGTGACAGAAGGTACTGAAACTACATGTACACTTGAGGCTCCACTTAACACAGAAGTGAACA